GAAATCCATTTACGACACCGTTACCCTAGACAACGCATCTGTAATTTGATATTTAATCGAGGATAGATGTAGATGATCTATGAGCCGTGGCATACATCTACCCCCTTTTTTTTTTTTTTTTTTTTTTGCGGATGGAAAATCATCTAATGACCCCTTTCGCTCTGGGTGGAGCGTAAGGGAGTGTCAGACTTTTACTGACTAAAAACCATCCGTGTTCCTTCAGTGCCCTTACGTTCCGGAGCCGCGGTATCTCTTTCGAATAGCCCGCAGCCCCGGCAGGCGTCGGCCCTTGCGGGCCCCATCACGCTGCTGACAGCTCTTTGAGGCGCGCGTGGAACAAAACGCGCCGTCGACACGGCCTGTCGTCGTTAGACGGACGGACGACGAGCTACCCATTGCTCGCCGTCCACAGGCCCGCGCCTACGGTGGCCGGGGGCCACGACGTAGCCCCCGACGCCCGGGGCGTCTCCCGCGGCGGCCGGGGAGGAAAGCTGCTGCTCTTTCCTTCTCCCGCTCCGCCACCTCCTTCGCTAGCATCACTGCTTCGCAGAAGGTGGTGACGGCATCCCATTCCGTCTCGCTCCGGACCATGGCTTCGACCAGGGCCGGACGCGAGAGGTCGCCGCCGCCTATCGCCGCTACGAGGACACGGCGGTGCTCCGCCCAAGCAGGGCACACCTCCACGGTGTGTTCCACCGCGTCCTCCGGTCCATCCTCGCAGTGGGAGCACCCGGGCGTTTCCTCCCGCCCGATTCGGTGCAGGAACCTCCCGAACACACCGTGTCCGGTGAGGACCTGAGTCAGGCGGAAGGTGATGATGCCGTGGCGTCTCTCAAGCCACTCCTCAAAGAGGGGTCTTATCGCCGTTATAGTGACGTGCCCAGCACGGGGTTGCGACAGTCGCTCTCTCCATGTCGCCATGAGATCGTGCCGGAAGTCTGTCCGCTGCGCGACAACTTGCCGCGGCAGCGGGGTTTCCCCCCGGCATAGTGCCTCCGCGCGCCATTCGTGCAGGCGTGCGAGGACTACCGCCTCCAGATCCCATGGCGGCAATCCGGCAAGGAGGCTCGCCGCCTCGCGGGAGATCGTGCGGTAGCCGCGAACCATTTTCACGGCAACCACCCTTTGGGGCGCGTTCAGGTGGTGGACGGCAAGCCGCGCCAAACCACGCGCCCACACCGGGGCCCCGTAAAGGGCCATGGATCGCACGATCCCCGCGTAGAGCCTCCGGCAGGAGGCGTTTGGCTCCCCCAGGTTCGGCAGGAGTCGCCTGAAGGCAGCCCCGGTCCGTTCCAGTTTGGGAGCCAAACGTCGGAAGTGCTCAACGAAGTTCCATCGGCTGTCGAGGACGAGTCCTAGGTACTTCAGTGTCGACTCGACGCCGATGGATACCCCTCCTACCATTACTGATGATCCCGGTGGTGGCCTGTTTCGAGGACCATGGAAGTGCATGGCCTCGGACTTGTGCAGAGCCACCTCGAGACCCAGTTGCCGAATCCTCTCAACGACTATCGCAACCCCGCGTGTCATAGTTTCCGCCGCCGCCTCGTACGACTCCCTTGTGCCAGTACCAGCGTGTCGTCAGCGTAGCAAATTACGCTGACGCCGGTAGGGAGGTCGGCGCGCAGCACCCAGTCATAACCGATGTTCCACAGAGGTGGCCCCAGAACCGAACCCTGTGGGACACCGCACGACATCTCTCGCCGGTTCCACTCACCGTTGCGACCGGGGTAGATGACGGCCCTGTCCATCAGATAGTCCCCGACTATACGACGGAGATAGGTCGGCACCCGGTGATACCGGAGTGCCTCCCTAATGCAGCTCCAGGGCATGGAGTTGAAGGCGTTGGCGATGTCGAGAGACACCGCCAAGACAACCCCTCCTCTGGCCACTGCATCCCCCGTCGTGAGGGCTCTCACGCGCATGATGGCGTCCACCGTAGAGCGCCTCTTGCGGAAACCAAACTGGTGTTCCGCAAGATCCGGCCCCGTCCCCGCAAGGTGCTCGGCGAGGCGGTTTGCAATGACTCTTTCAAAGAGCTTGCCCACCTCGTCGAGCAGCACCACGGGCCGGTATGCGGACGGAGAGTCCGCAGGGCGCCCCGGCTTCCGAATGAGGACCAGCTTCCCCGCCTTCCAACAAAGCGGGAATTGGCCTCTTCCAAGCATGCGCTTAGGAGCCCCTCCAGTCGGGGCCCGAGAGCCTCCGAGGCCAGGACCCAGGCTTTTCCAGGCAAGCCATCGGGTCCTGGGGCGGTATTCCTGGCCTTGAGCCTACGTACCGCCACTCTCAGGTCTACCCCGGTCCCTTCCGGGATGTCGTTGTCGTCGTCCTGGTGGTCCGCTTCCGGCACCGCAGGTGGCGGAGCCATAGGCGGGGGCGGATGTTCCCCTCGCGCAGGGAACAGAGCGCTCAATACATCTACCCTCATGTGGACTATATGCTCGTTTGTCACCTTGAAAACAAGAGCGTACAACTAGTGCTTGTTGCCAGTAATATAAGGAAGATCAATGTTGATCAACAAGAATATAGAATAGAATAGAATAATTTTTAATTCAAAATAGATTACATTATACTTATTGTAAGTTATTTTTTACTTATACTTAGCTACTCGTATATGATGGACGAAGGGTTATGATGGATGAAGGGTTATGCTGGGAAAATTTTTGCGTGTTACAATTCATAATGAGATGTTTCCCTCTTTAGCCTCATACGATACTCGCGGGATGATATGGGGTAGTGGCTATATGTACTTACATTGCCATTATAAGGTTGCTGTACCTAGGCCTCATAAGTTGCCTCATAGGCGGGATATTTGAGACAGTTGGCACGCTTACAAAGCGGGTTGGCAACAGCAGTTATTTTTAGCTGTTATTAAGAAGACACTGCTGGGTATCTAAACGGTTTGATACGAATGGGTCGGCTCGACCGGGGAAGGACCACGCTCTCACAGAATACCAGCGTAAAATAACAGTCTAATACTGCTGTGTTTCGTATGGTGAGTGTAGAGATCCGGAGATCCTTTTTACTGGAAACGAGGCATTCGTTCACACACATCCTTGAGTTGCTTAGTCCCAGGATGGACATGTGCTTTTTAAGACAACAGTGTCCAGTTAGAGCTCTTGCCAGAATGCGCAATTTATTTTTACTTAATACCAGGTCTTCTGAAGCGAATTTACGACCAAAAGCCCGGATTGAGGTTTTAGAATATTTTAAGCCTGGTATGTCTGACCAGATCTTAAGTGATTTATTGTGATAAAGAGTCAAGGGCATGGAGGCTTCTTTTCCACAAAATGGCTCAAGTCCAAATTGTGTGCACTTTGAGCCCTCCCGTGCAAGTTTGTCGGCAAATTCGTTGCCTACAATACCCTCGTGACCTGGAACCCATCTTAAAACGACCCTATTGTTACATCCCAGGGCGTTTAAATGGTTCACCCAGTCTCCAACTAGCCTAAAAAGTCATTACTCTATCTATTATAAATACATACTTTAAAATTATTAACTTTATTTTTCACCAAAGATATCTTGGGAATTTATTTTCAATTATTTATTCTTGTACCCCTCGGGAACTCAGCCAATACTCGGGGCGGAGTTATTTTGCGTACTTTAAGGCTTTCGGGTACTCGTAACTCGAAATCAGCAGTTATTGCGAACGAAATTCTTTAATATTTGGCTACAAATTAATGTTGCTTCAATTTCTATAGATTGAGACTGATTAGAAAATCGAGAAGGAATTTTTTCGTGTGCATTATATAAAATTATTGTTATGTAATCGATTTTATGGATGTTTTATGAAGGCAGCTTTTTTAATTATCAGACCGTAGAAGACTAGATATTATCCGAATAAAACTTTTTTTATAGAACAAAGATGAAAAACGCACACGGTCACATCTGAAAGTATGTGGATATTGTGATCAATAGACCCATCTATCCTCGATTAAGAATCAAAACGCAGATGTATTGTCACCCCTGAGGACTAAGTTGAAATGCCTCGTATCCAGTTAAAAGGATCTCCGGCTCTCTACGCTCACCATACGAACTGCATTAAGTTGCTTCGTTATACTGGTATCCTGTGGCAGCGTGGTCCTTTCCGATCAAGCCTGTTCATTCGTATAGATAATAAAGCTACAGCATGGCCATATAATTTCAAAATGTATAGTGTAAGGGTGACAAACGAGCACACAGTCCACCTGATCGGTAATGGTTATTATGGCTCATAGACATCTACATGTGTCCTCGATTATCAATTAAAATGGAGATGCGTTGTCACCCGTGAGGACTGAGATGGAATGTCTCTTCTCCAGTAAAAAAGGTCTCCGGTTCTCTACACTAACCATACGAAACACAGCAGCGTTGAGCTGCTATTTCACGCTGGCATTCTGTGAGACCATGGTCCTTCCCCTGTTGAGCCGACCCAATCGTGCTACAATGATACTATTAATAATGATAATTAATGATTTCTTACTTTACTTTTTCTTACATTTGACGATGCTTACCGTCGTCGGGCTGAGTTTTTTACATCTCGTTGTTAAGAGAATGTTTTTAATTATCATATTTCTAACTTTACACTTATTAAATGTTTTAGAGCCACACTGGAGCTATAATATAGTTGTAGCACAAATGGGTTGGCTCGACCGGGGTAGAATCACACTCTCACAAAATACCAGCGTAAAAGAGCACCTTAATGCTGATGTGTTCCTTTTGGTAAGTGTAAAGAACTGGAGACCCTTTTTACGAGACATGAGCCATTCTATCTTAGCCCTCAGGGGTGACAGCGAGATGATTCTAGTGAAATATGTGCTCGTTTCTATATAAAAATCACTACGGATGACCAATCACAGGTTATGTTCCACAACAAAGAAGACGATAGGTAGAAAAATGTGCATTCAGTGCAAGTCAGTACAGCAACACAACTCTACAAGGATATTCGATGCAAATTGAAGCAACTGGCCTAAAGTTGCAACATGCGTGTTAAAATGAAATCGGGTTTTGGTATAAATATGTGGCTATTCTTTCTGTTACTATACTTCGTCAGAAGAGTTCCAAGCAAAATGTTCACCTACGTCGCTGTAAGTTACATCTATTTATTAACAATAATCATTTATTTTTATTTAATTATATATAATACAATTTATAACAATATATTAATTAAAAGAAATTAATACTATAGTAAGTGGGGGGGGGGGTAATATGGTCATCCGGTTAATATGGTCACTTTCCTGTAATTCAAAAACTACACCTTGTTTGCATATATAGCTTTGTGATACGACAGCTCTTCATCGGTAAATAAAATACTAAGGGGTTTAAAAGGCGTTGCTTCATCGACTTTACTTTGACAGTTGACGTTATAGTAAATATTTTAGTATACGACTTTGTGTTATTGTCTCTGAACTTCTCCTAGTTTTGGTTTTATAGGGTGACAAAGCGTAAGGTACCATATTACCCTCACGTACCTACTTTACAAAGTTAAATTACGAAACAGTCCTGCTCCTCGTGGTATAGTTCCAAGAAGGCTGCATTACCTTGCTGATTCAGCCGAAGATAGAGTTCCCTTAGGAACTTAACTGTAGGTAGACTTTATTGATCAAGAGTTTCTCCAGGCTATCGGTACTATAGTGGGGTCCACGTGTGGTGAAGTTCTTTAAATAGGTATTTTCGCGACTTGTCATCGCCGCTTGTGACTGTCAACTTTTTATACGTTTTACAGCAAATTGCAAAAATCTATGAATGAATTTATTAATCAGCCATTATTATCTATTTAAGGCTGAATGTTTTACTTGCGAACTAAACAAACTTAATGTTAGTATTTTATGATATTAAGCGCCTCGCTATGCTCGCCTCGCTCGCTATGCTTGGGGTTTCTCTGCGCAATTAACTTAGAAATGAGGATATCCGAACCAGAGTGACCGACATAGACCAACGGATTAGTAAGCTGAAGTGGCAATGAGCCGGCAATATAGCTCGTAGAACCGACAGCCGATGAGGAAAAAATGTTCTCGAGTGGTAGCTTTGTATCGGTAGGCGAAGTGACGACCTGGTAAGACATGCAGGAAGTCGACAGATGCAGGTGGCTCAGGACCGTACTGTGTGGCATTCCTTGAGGGAGGCCTATGTTCAGCAGTGGACTCGTGAATTAAAGATTATGTTCGGTAAACTTTATAAAAAACAGGGTTCCCAAATTCATTACAAATTGCGGTCCGCTAATTATTATTTTTGCCGATCTATACAAATAGAATTAAAGTTTCTGTTTGTAATGTCAAAATAACAGCTTCTTACTAAATGCATACGAAAATGTATATGGTACTTATGCTAATAACAAATAAACATCTTTTAAAATGTTTGTCTGTCTGTCTGTTCGTTTCGGCTAATCTCCGAAACGACTGGACGGATTTTGACGGGAATTTCACTGGCAGATATCTAATATTACAAAGAGTAACTTACTTCTATTTAAGAAAATTAGTTATGTTTCTGCGCAAAATAATTAAAAGCCTAAATTTAACGCGCGGAAAGTCGCAGGAAACAGTAAGTAAATAAAATATATAAGGCCTCAGCATCGGCCTCCCGCTTGACAACAGCTGCAAGCCTCGTACCACAGTACTCTGTGCTTGCGGCGCTAAGCGACCCCCTTCACATAGAATGCGATACGAAAGCGATAGTCGCTATTGTTAGACGTTTTTATAATATTTATCAACTCTCGGCGAACAGACTTTAGGTTGATAATTAATGACTATAGCAGAAATAAACACATACACGTTATGTTCTTTTAAGCTTGGGTTTTTCTTATTGTGATATTTATGAGGGTAAGCCAATACAATACATTAATATATTTTATAGGGAGCCCAGGGATAAGTGGAAGTCGTATTTTTATTCCTCCATAGGATAGAGTTATTGGGATCTATTCGTATATCGTGGAGGTGTGTTACATACATAAATTTAATTAAACACTTGTACCGTATGGTATTCGAATCCGCGGGTCTTAGTGTCGCAACCCATTCTTAGCCGATAGGCCACCAAGCCGGTATGCAATCAAACCGTGTTCGATCCTCAGTGGCACCACTGAAATTGTAAATTGGCCGGTGTTTATCCATGGACTACCATTGTCATTTGCTATTAAGGTTGAATAAAATCTTGTTTCTCATTAAACTTGAGTATTATGACTGACTTTTAATTGGGAAAATGACGCTTCCGTCTGCTCATTTTGTTATACATGCACTGGAGCAGCGCGATTGTCAAATTTTGTTTGATCCAGTAATAAGAGCCAGCACAGCCAGCAGTGGCACGTATGTGCTGTAAAATTATCTTTTCGCTATAAAAGATAGAATTGATTTTTTTAAAGAAAATATTAGCAATGCTATCAAAATCACTTATATTCCCTTTAACCACTCCTGGTAAGCTTAAAACGCTTGTGTTAGGAGTATATACAGTAAACCTTAAAGTAAACCTTTTTGTATTGCAGAAACAATAAAATGCAAATAACTAAATAAAAAATAAACATACACAACGCTATTAAATTATAACTAAACGCGCAGTCCTTAAAAAACTAAAACTTTTTTAACCTATTTTATATTTTCGACATTTTGTGTATTGCTTATAGCGGATCATGTGTGCTGGGAAACACTCGTAGAGTCTTTTAAATAAAATAAGTTAAACTAAACCATTGAAGTACGTATGTACTTACGTACTAGAACAGCTATCTCAAACAAAAAATGTGCGCTACTCTGTGTTCGCGCGGTTGTTTTTTTATCATAGAATAAACATAGGTAGAATGACCCGTAGGTAATAGTAGATTGTTTTGTTAATTATATCGAGAACAATAATTAAATTTTGTCATTTATTTTGTGTATTATATTTACTTATTTAACATAATATTACATAATTTTTAATAACAATTTCATTTTAATGATATTTTTATCTGAATATTTTAAAAGGTATCGTCGTAAGTCAAATATAAAAAAAATACTAAATGTATGTTTAACAAAGCTTATTAACATAACATTTAAATTACAAATATATTTATTTAAATTAGAATAAGAGTCGTTCATAAATGATGGGCACACGAGAGTTAAAAATGGACGAATTTATTCCACTTTTACTTTGATGTGGAAACCTAAAAATAAAATAAAAGATTAATAAGCAGATTTAAACATGAAAAATTTTGCCGAATCGTAATAACTTATATATGTTTCTACAATGTGTATAATAATTATTTTTGTACACTGAAATTGCATCTGAACATATTAATTTCTTCTATATAGAGAGGCGTCTTAGGAATAATGTTTTTTTTATTTTTTTTGATATAATGAAACTTTTATACATTTCTTGAATTATTTTCTTGTACATATCGGATTTTTTTAATTAGTATGCCTGCAATATGATTAAAGTGCGGTGTATGCACTGCAGTTGAGTGGAACAGAGTAGCTGAATGCAGTGTCGCCTCTAGTACGTAGTACATAATAGCTCAATGAACTAAACACTTTCGTTGTTGATATTCCACGCATTCAAGTAAAATTATTTGCTTCGTCGATCGTAACAAGTACGTACAAAGCAATGGAGTGGAATAGTTGGCCTTTCTTATACTAAGCTACTGCACCTTTTGCGGCTACTTCACCACTTACCTTCAGTTGAGATAGCAGTCAAGTGGCTTCAAACTTATAAAAAAAATCAAAAAATCTTTATTATATCAACTTAAGTCTAAAATACAATTTTGCTATGTTTGGAGACTCGGTTGAAGCTAAATAAATTGCTTGTCCGCTCTTCAAAAAACATTTATACAACATACATTTTAGATTACAGTTTTAATAAGATAATAATTAAAAAATAAAGTATGCGTGCAATTATTACCCTTGTGTGATGGAAAGGGAAAATTGTAGTTACAATAAACACGTAATAGTTACAAAACCTAAGCATTTGGATAATTTATTTTTATTAGTAACGTAATTAGGTCACTCACATATTAATTTATTTGCAATAACACTAGGCGTTATTCCAATAAGCGTTTACATTGTTCGTAATATCGCAACACGTTCTGCGTATTGAAGCATGACCGAAAGTCATACTGTTAACATACATATAGTTCGAAAGTTAAATATATAGTCCATAATATAGTTAGTTATAATGGCTGCCTCGGTGGTTTAGTTGACGTAGTGCGACTACGTAGTCGTTGTGGTAGTGCGACTGCGACTGCGGCCCGGGTTCAAATCCCGGGTCGGGCCAGAAAATAAGTTATTGATTTTTTCCGTCAAGAAATTCTTAGTAGCTACCCGGAATCAGGAAGTTGGCGATATCTCACCCGCGTGGCTCGGAAAGCACGTTAAGACTATGGTCCTGCGCCTGATCTCTCTAAGATCGTGTCGGTTTACCGCCCCATCGGATTATGAGAGTGAGGAAATAGAGAGTGCACCTTTGCTTACGCATACACTTGGGTACTATAGTTCTGTCCTGCACCGATGAGTAGTCTCCGTTAGGCTGGCCGCCGGGCCAAAATTCGGTGTGGAGACATTATTAATATTAGTTATAGCGGTTAACTGAAATGAAACTCATATTCAATTATAAAAAAGAAAAATATATTCCACCATTGCCTATATTTTATTTGGACAAGCGTATATACAGGGTGGCCCAAAAGTCGTGGATCAAACGCAACTAGGGGTTAGATGGGGTCATCAGCTGCAAAAAGTTGTTCTACGGGAGGTCCTTAAAGTCAACCCCTGCAGAGTTATAATTTATTTTGTGTTTTTATGAGAAAATTGACTTTTTTTTAACTAATTCTTATTAAAATGCCAAAAAATAAACATCCTCTATCTTTTTTTATAATTTTCACTAGATTGGTACTGATGAGTCCTTGCGTTAGACATGCCATTTATGGTTGTTTATTGGGTGTGTTGAAGATAATATTAAGTTTTACGATTTTTTTTTTCTCAAATCATAACTTTTTATTTACTTCGGACCCCACTGTGAAAAAAAAATACTCTACCGAAAAGTGACCATGTATTACAAGTTTTGGCGCATTTAATAGGGATTCTGAAATGGTATTACACATGGCCATGAGTGGCTCTAATATCTTTCTAGGACGAAAAAACAAAGCAACGATTGTGAAATAATTGTTTTATTAAGCAAAACATTTTACAATAAATGCTCAAAATTCCTGCCTCTGACCATAATACATAATCTGCACCGTCTAATAAAATTCCTACGTAACCTACGGAATGCACTTCTGTTGTTAGTTACTTGTACTCTAGCAAACTCGAGCTTTTGTCGTAGTTCTTGTTCGCTATTGTTCTCTCCTTGGTAAACTATTTCTTTAAAATAGCCCCAAAGAAAAAAATCTAATGGATTTAAATCGGGCGACCGGGGTGGCCACGCAACATGTCCGCCTCGACCAATCCACCGGTTGGGGAAGCGCTCGTTCAAATGATCTCTGACTGCTCGAGCCTAGTGAGGCGGGGCGCCATCATGTTGCAGCCACATTTCTGCTATTCTTTCTTCTGGAACTTCAGCTTCGTTAAGAATATGGTTTAAATTATTTTGCAAAAAATTTAAATACTGAGCACCATTCAGCCTTGCTGGCATTTCATGCAGCACCAACTGCTGGCCAATTATACCAGCCCACATGTTAATACCAAACAGATTCTGGAATCGATCATTTCTTATGATATGGGGGTTTACTCTGGAGTAAAAATGTAGATTGTGGATATTGAATACTCCCATTCTTCTAAAAGTTGACTCATCCGTCCATAAAACCTTGTTAAAGAACTGCGGATCTTCTCTGTGATATCTTAGCATCTCTCTACAAAACCGCACTCTAGGTTCATAGTCACCGGGCAGCAAAGCTTGCACCCTTTGCACGTGGTAGGCGTGATATTTTTTTCTGTTAATGACACGTTGCACCGTCGATCTTGGAATCCCGATATTACTGGATATTTGGCGTTGACTTATACTAGGATCCAATCTTAATTCTCTCAGCACTTCATCTTCATTTTCAAATTGCATCACTGGTCTGCCTGCTCTCATAGCATGCTGACCGGGTAAGACTCCCTCCATGTACGAATTATGTACGCGCATAAAGACCCTGTAATCCGGAAAACGATCACGGTTAGGGTAGCGTTGACGATATTCCCTGGCAGCAGCCCGGGCATTACCGTCGCAAAAGCCATACAGGTAATGCATTTCTGCATACTCCCGTTGGGTGTATTCTCTCCTCGCAGCAGCCATCTGTCCACTTTTGTAGCCAATCCGTCCGATTCACACAGCACTGGTCACAGGTAGGCAATCTATCACAAGTCCGAAAAACAAAGCGTAGGTCAAAGGAAAGAAACTGGTCACAAGTCGTCGTAAAACCGAGAAAAAGAACACGTGCGTACCCACAGGCAGGAAGCGAGTTACTAAAGAACACTAAACATTCTAAAGAAACATGCTCACGCGCATCCCCCAGCCCCCGCCCCTGCCGGCCCAGCCTTTTGTTTCCTAGAAAAGATATCGCTACCTGAACTGACGGGCCAACCGGCCTTTTACTGACAAAGGATTAAATAGTTAGTGTAAAAGAGAGGCAGAGAGTCTTTGTCATTAATTGTATTAATTCTAGTTTATTTTTAAATAAGCCTAACCGAGTTTTATGGTTGGGTTAACTTTGGCCTTGCCATGAATAATCGTCCTAAAAAGATATCAAAGCCACGCATAACCATGTGTAATACCTTTTCAGAATCCCTATTAAATGCGCCAAAACTTGTAATACAGGGTCACTTTTCGGTAGAGTATTTTTTTTTCACAGTGGGGTCCGAAGTAAATAAAAAGTTATGATTTGAGAAAAATAATAATCGTAAAACTTAACATTATCTTCAACACACCCAATAAACAACCATAAATAGCATGTCTAACGCAAGGACTCATCAGTACCAATCTAGTGAAAATTATAAAAAAGATAGAGGATGTTTATTTTTTGGCATTCTAATAAGAATTAGTTAAAAAAAGTCAATTTTCTCATAAAAACACAAAATAAATTATAACTCTGCAGGGGTTGACTTTAAGGACCTCCCGTAGAACAACTTTTTGCAGCTGATGACCCCATCTAACCCCTAGTTGCGTTTGATCCACGACTTTTGGGCCACCCTGTATATACGTATATATGACGTGTTGTAAACCATGAGTCGTCGCACAGCAAAACTGAAGTTAAAAATATATTTATACGAGTAGGTGTTATCTAAAGAAAATCCTAATCAACAAAAATATTTTGGACCTTATGGTGCATATGGTGGTATACATTAAGTAAAAAAAAGGATAAATGTTACAAATGTTACAAAAATGTTGAAGTTTACGCAGATAGTTTCCACCACTTATTGTGATTACTTTATTTTTATTTCAGGTTGCTTGCCTGTTAGCTGTGGCTCATGGAGCCCCATCCGGATATTCAGGTGGATATGGTTAGAAATGATTCTAATACTTAAAATTACATTATAGATGATATAAAACAAAATAAGTTTAAAACTAAAAACTTTTTCTAAATAAAAATATTACTATTTTTTGTATGCGAAAGCGAGTCTATCGGTAGGTCGGAAGAACCAAGCCTCTCGCAGAATACCAGCGTAAAATAGCAGTGTAATGCTGCTGTGTTTCGTATGGTGATTGTAGAGAACCAGAGACCCTTTTTTACTTGAAACGAGGCATTCCATCTTAGTCCTTTGATACGGCAACGCATTTGCGTTTTGATTCTTAATCGAGGATAAATGTAGATGTCTATGGGCCACAGCATCCACTTACCATCAGGTGGACTTTGTGTTCGTTTGTCACTATTATTCTAAGAAAAAAATTGTCTGCAGATGTCCTCGGGCTGCCTTAGTGAATTACCATCAGGTGGACTGGAGGTTATTTCGTTACTTCACTTTGTAAAAAAGAAAATAAACAAGAACGCTTCAGTAACGGGTTCGAATCCCGCCTATAAAACATTACATTATTAGGCATTTAATAAATTTATAGGCACATCTAAAAAACATTCTGGGTATAGATATTTATAGGCAACAAGCGATCTGCCTCAGTTTCGCACTCTATTCTACATCAGCGCCACATGGTAGAGTCACGTTGAAGCATGGCACGTATATTCACACTCTCTCGAAATCGCAACTTAATACTGCTGTGTTTCATATGATGATTGTAGAGAACCTGAGACCCGTTTTACTGGAATTGAGGCATTCTATCTTAGTCCTCAGGGGTGACAACGCATTTGTATTTTGGTTCTTAATCGAGAATTTTAATTAATCTTCTCTCTTCTCTTATCTTATCTTAATCGAAATTAGGTTCTTAATTAAATATAAATATGCTGCTATGATTATTGGCCATAGGATCCACTTACCATCAGGTAGACTGTGTGCTCGTTTGTCACCCTAATTCTTAAAAAAATTCCTACCGGGTCCAACTATGCCTATAACTTTAGCAGAAGTGTAAGCAATTTAATATAGTTTTACCGCTATCTGATGAACGATATGGCAGCGCATGAAATACGAACAAACAAATATTAATTTCTATATATTAGATTTTAGTCCACAATACCATAGCCCTACCTGTTTTTACCACCAAATTAACTGTTAAGCGCTGCTGTGTACCATCAAGTAATGTTTTAAAAAGATAAATGTGTCGACCCGCATACAATTCATTTTCTTAAATTCTTGTTTCAGGATACTCATCACCGATCATTTACAGTGCACCGGCCATCTCCACCGCCAATCTAATTAAAGCGGCTCCGATTCCCGTCTACAAGACCATCTCGACACCAATCATTTATCAGTCAGCCCCCATTGCTCCCATCGCTCCCATCGCTCCCATAATTTCCACACCAATTCTGAAGACTATTTCAACACCGATCATTTCACAAGGATACAGTCTAGGAGGACACGGGCTTGGAAGCTACAATCAAGGAGGATATGACCTTGGAAGCTACAGTATCGGCGGATATGGACTCGGGTTGGGTAATGGTGGTCATTGGGGCAAGTTCTAAGCTATATTAGCCAAGAAATGCAGAGGAAGTGCCTGTTAAAATTGTAAACCAACCTCTCCCTATTCCTTGGTTAATGCACTGAATAAAACATTCGCAAGTCTATTTCTGTGTTTAATTTGAATATAAAAAATACGTGTGGCACTCGGTGACTGCCGCGGTAAAGCTATTGCATACCATTTTTTATCAACTTATGCAATTATAATTATTTATTTATTTTATTTATGCAGTCAAGTCTTTGATATTAAATCAAGTTACACTTTTTGAGCGTGGTGACCGATAAGAAAACAATTTTTGTTCTCTTATGGAATAAATGAGAAGTTAATATTGTTTAAAATATTTTTAATATCTTACAATACATGTAGGTTATTCAGGAATTTTTATCATTGAGTGAGCAGCTAGTGTACACGCATACGTCTAGTCGCAAGCACACAAACAACGTGCCGAAGTCTGCCGAGTGCCGAAGTCTGCCGAACTGAAACGACGTTAGACGATGCACGGCTTTCAACGCCACACCTCCGTGCCCGTCGGAGTGGGGAGCGTGAGGTTTTTTCGTTACGGAATTTCTGGATTCGGTCCCCGCGCTCAAGGCCCGCGATAGAAGCTATGCAATAGCTTAAAAATCATATAAATACCATACCATTACAGTCTATCAAAAATCAACTTTTCTCATTTTGAGTGGTAATCAGGAAAACGCTGCTGCCCATCTGTTTCGTTTCCCTCTGTCGGATCTATCCGGTATCTTAGTTCTCACAGATGACACCTCATCTGCACTTCGATTCGTAATCGAGAATATGTACATGTGGATGTCTACAAGCTACATCAACACATTACCATCAGGTGGACTGTGTGCTCGTTTGTCACCCTTATCCTATAAAAAATACAGGACTAATTTTGCTTTTACTGCCTAGCATGTCGTAATATTCAGTATAAGGATTATAATTTTGTAGATAACGGTTTGTCCATTTCTTTGGCTTAACGTGTTTCAAGTAGCCTGCTGTTCTTGGGACTCTGCCTACCCCTCTAGGATTAAATTCATTGTATGTATGAAGAAAACAAGTTAATCTTAATTAATTTTTTTAATTATCGATGTTTCTGACCCTATTTTAACGATTAATATTACGCGATTTCTTCGCTGATTATGAACCAACATTAATTATTCTACTTTATTAAAGATATTATATTATATATAGTACAACTCTATTGAATTATATATTTATTTAAACTTTTATGCACAAAAGGAATCGTACATTTGGCGGACTTAATGCCTTATTGAGGCATTCTTTCCCAGTCAACCATATAATATATTGTTCCGTCGAGACGTTCTTGTTTTTACTTTGAGCCTGTGTTATTGTTTAGCACTCTTAAAAGATTCATATTATTAAAATTAATCCTTAATAACACAAAAAAACGACTTCCAAAAACTAATAAAGAAATAAAAACTTTTTTTCCAAAAAAATTTAACCGCCGAGAAAACTAAAAACAAAAAATAATAAACCTTTTTCTTTTATCTTAATAACTAAGTTATTAAGCTAAGTTGAGTGTACCTAAGTATATATATTTTAATTATTATGAGTTTTTGATTAATTTTAATAACTAAGTTCTTAAACCAATGTAAGTATACCTAAGTAATTTTTAGTCGGCGCCAAGCAATCAATGAACAAAGATCACTAAATTACGTTCCCAGACCCATTCGTGTTACAATCATAATATAGCTTGGCTTTACCACGTATAAAAAAGACCTGTAAAATTATATAAAGAATGAATCTCTTTGCTTATAGTTTTACGAAGTTGGCTTTTACTATTTTTAAGTTTAATTTTTGTTTCCACGCAGATTAATTCCTATGTTAATGACATAACACTCTTAATTAGTCTTGTGCATTATTCTGTGCATTTGAATTTTCAAGCAAACTTCATTCCACACAAAGGCAAGCACTGGAAGTTATTTAAGTTAGACACTGTTTGTAAATTCTCACTTGACGTAAATTAATAGCGGGCTGTCTACACCAGCGGTTCCCATGTGCATGCAATATGTTGATGTCATTCCGAAACTTGTGCACTTATAGACAATGGATGTGTACCATATCCACAGTTCACAGCCAGAAAAATGGATGGAAAACGAGCGAACAGTCCACCTGATGGTAAGTGAACGCCATGGTCCATAGACATCGTGCGAAAGCTGATCGCTCGGGCGGGAGAAGTACAGCGCGTTGCTTCGCAGTGGGTGCACGTGCTGTAGGGCCAACTCGGCTTGCGTCGAGCCTCGAGGACGCCCCTGACCCCGCCCGGGACGTTACATACCCAACGCTGCGTTTAATCTACCATGCTGGGAAGCGAACTCCGAAGACCCGGCGTGCTGCTAGGAGAGCGTGCCTCTGTTGGTGACTTCGGCTCCGCGTCGAGATGCGTCTCCGCGGGACCTGGAGGTTGCTGACCCTTCGGCAGATCCCTTCCAAGAGGTACGAGATACGCTTCTGCCAAGGAATTCACCAGGCCTTAACCTAGAGCCAGGGAGGAGCACTGGAGGCCCGGAGTGCTGCTGTTAGGAGCGCACACCTGTCGGCAGGATTGGCCCTGCGTCGACTCCCTGTCCGCGGGACTCCGCGGGGCTTCGAGAATGCTGACCCTCCGGAAGCACCTACTTGGTGGCGCGCAATACGCCAACGAAGAGTACCTACAATGCCGTCCTTGTACGGCTCCCAAGACCGGTCCATAGAAATGGGCTGTGAGGATTACCCGGGTAATGGGGGACAACCCGAGGCCCGAAACCTGCAGGGATAAACAATAGTAGTCCCTCGCAGATGACAACACTGAAAGCTGATCATGGGGTTTCGGGTTCAAATCTGGCGAAAAACGGTTATTAGGTTTATCTATCAAGAAATTCTCAGTAGCAGCCTGAATGAAGGAATACATTTTTATTCAATACTAGCTTTTTACTTTCGCTCGTTTCAATTTAGGAACATAACTAATACTGCTCTGAGTCAAAAGAGTAAAATTGAATCGTAGAGTCACCTTGTGTGACTCTACGATCCGATTTTACCACAGATATGTGTCTATATCTGTTTGGCACAAGTTTTTTTTTTTTAGGGATCTTTTGACATAGATGATTTTTTGATAGGGTTTGTTTGGTAGATATTAGTATGCTGCAGGAATATGTGATTACGTATCTTTTTTATATTATATCAATTCTAAAATACGAATTTTAGAATTGTATTAATATTAAAACCGAAACCGAAATAGGGCTATTTAAATAAACTCATGTAGTTACTCTGTTAACAAACTATTCGACATTGCTTCTTCAGTCAAAGTGGTAATTACTTAGTACTCCGTGGAGTAGCGGCTTAGCATTGGGTTGCAGCGCTAAGAGCCGCGGGTTCGAATCCCACACGGAACAATTATTTGTAAGGTCTACAAATTATTGTCCTCGTGCAATTTATCTATGTAAAATGCCTGAAATGGTGTAAATGTTTGTTCTCCTGCAATTAATGTGTGTAAACTGCCTCCACGAAACAGAAGGAATCCTAGTTAGAAATTTTAGCGTAAATAATGCACCATTTGTTACATTAACCCTTCAATCCCCATACAATTCCCATGCAGTGACATGCGCCTGGCAAATCCCGAGCGGTCGCGTGCGACCACACCCACACCACTTAAAACCATTAAAACTTATATTTGAGAGACTACTTTTCTATGAAGAAGTTTGGCATTATAAAATCTAGTACTCGGATGACCTAGCTTTGCTCGGTTTTTTAAGTTACATTTAGATAAAAATGACATGAATAATATTTTTGATCTTATTGACATAATAGAAAAAACTGAACTGGTTATTTGGATAAAAGATCATGAGTGCAATTAGTTTAATTAAAATTTTCGTATTTTTAAAAAATACTAAAAAAAGGGCTCGAAATAATAGATTTTCTCACAAAAGAAGGGAACTTGAAAAAAAAAAGGAAAAAGAGTCGGACCCAAGACGGGACGCGAACCAAGGCATTACGATTTCACGAACGCTTGATATCCACTTGAGCTATTACGATCATTAACAAAGTGTCAAAATTTACCTTCTTATATTTTAGCAGTTTTTCATTGCCTGACAACACGGACAAAAGGACATTTTCTAAAAATAAATCCTAGCTAGATCAATTTATTGCCCCCGAAATTCCCTGGACACTAAATTTTATGAAAATCGTTGGAGCCATTTCCGAGATTCCTTATATATATAAGAATTGCTCCTTTAAAGGTATAGGATACAAAGTTTTCCATCTTGTGGTCTAAACAAAATTCAGTTTTACTTACTAAAAAAATACCAAGCGGATATCGGTAGCATGAAAATCACAATTATTTCTATATATTACTCGAAATCATTTACGTAAAAAGATAATTTATATTCACATAAAAACTTTCCATTTTATAATAAAACACTACAGTAAAACACTAATAAAACACTACAAAATCCAAAAATCAACACAACAACATTCAAATGAAAATAACATACGTAATAAACGTAGAATATAAATTAATATCCATAGAGTAACTGATTTTTTATTCCACTAAAGGATAGAAGATTTTATATTGATTCTATAATGCCGAACTTAATCATAGAAAAGTTGTTTCTAAACATAAGTATTTATGGGTTAAAGTGCTGTGGGTATTGACCGCTTGAATTTTGATGGAATATCGAAGTGGTCAAATTTGGACGCTTGCCATTTGAGAGGTTAAGAAACAAACAGATTAAAACACCCTTTCGTGTAAAAAGAAGGCGATAAACGAGCGCAAATTTCACCTGATAAATAAATACTTTGGACATGGTCCACAGAATCCTTAAAGACTCTAACGTCTCTTAATAGTGGTCATAAATCGCTGATCACGTGGTTTCGAATCGAATCCTGGGTTGGGCTAAAATCAGTTATTGCATTTTTCTCGTAGCAGTCCGTAATCAGGAAGTTGGCAGTGTTTCAACCCGTGCCTCGGAAAGCACATAAAGCCGGAAGTCCTGCGCCTGGTCT